AACAGAAGTTTGTTGAAAACTTACCTGCAGAATAAAGACTGGTTGGATGTGGATTGGCAGTGAGTAGTATTATGTTAGGGGGTTTTATTTATAGAGTTCTTGTCATTGAATAATATGACACATTTAGTTAATTGCATCTTTAGGGCCAAGATAATTTTCAGCCTGTTACTACAGATTTGTGCAAATGTAACAGAAAGCACAAAGTAGCCATTTGAACTTCCTAAGAAGACTTAAAATCTAACTTGGTGAAGTAAATTTCCTGTTCAGGTAATCATGTGTCTAATTATGAAAAATGAGTGTTAAGAAAAGGTCTGAGAGAGAACTTGGTGTGATTACCAGTAAGGAAGGTAATATTAAAGACCACCAGTGGAATGGGTGGGCTTCAGCCTTCAGCAGTGAAATTTCTCTTTGTACCCAAATGCAGTGATAGTGGGTTTTTTTTTTTTTCTAAAATAGAAGCTAGATATTATGGTATTACATATCAGCAACATTAGTAGGTGATTTCCAGACAGTAGTGAGAATACAAAAACTGGCTGTCATTCTCCAGGAAAACCTCATAAGTTATGCTGTCTCTGGGAGGACCTTTATTCTACATGCTATGCTTCTCAAATCCAAAAAGTAGGCGACACATATGTTGTCTCTTACTGGACTTTCTGGAAATGAACACCCTACTGAAAGATGTGAGAAAATCATAGGAACATACAGAACAGGTCCAAGATGGCCTGGCCTCTTCTTTGTAATATATTTCAAACATGTAAATATATATATATATATATATATATTATTACTTAGATGCAAAGTACTTCAGTTTGTGGTGAGGTTTTTTTCATTAAAACCCCAAGTCTTGCTTAAGCCCTATATAAAGTCTGTATGAACTTCAGGAATATTAAGAACTACAGTAAAATCATGAGAGCTGTCTCACAGCCTATGGAAAACTCAGGTTTAGTTTCCCTATTGTTAGCTCTGGAATGCTTGGACAGCTTGGACAGAAGAAAGTGGGAGGGGAGTGCATCACCCCGTTGCCGTAAGTGCAGGTGCCAGTATTTCTTTGTGTCTCAAAAAGATCTGTAAGATCCTGGAAAAAAATCAGAACAAATTTTCAAAAGCACTATCAGCAGCACCTGTAACCCATAATCATCACATTTGTGGCACCAGCATCAAGATGACATCTCAGCAGTGTAACTACAGGTACTAATGTACATGGCAGCTCCCTCTCCCAGTTCAGCAGACTCATCAGGCTGGGACTGCTTTCCTCTTTGAAGGCAAAAATATAGAAAAAGAGTGCAAGGTCTGGGTTACTTTCCATTCTTGCAAGTACCAGCTTTTTTGGGAACAGCGAAGGTGTGAAATCAGCCTACGGAGCCTGCTGTCAGCAGTGGGTGTCACAGCCCACAGCCAGTCAATAGTTATTATGAGCCAAAAAAGACAGAGAAATCCGGCCAACTTGAGCAAAAGATGCAGCAGCAGAGAAGAGTGCAAAATTCTGGCATTTGCTTCTTGCATCATGGTCTGCTTTTATTCTTGCCGTATTAAAACTGTCATGGCTTTATGCTAATGTGGTTTATTCCTAGCCAGTGATTATTATGCTTTGAATTAGCAGTGCTCTTGAGAGCTTTTCTCATGAAAAAAATCATGTCCTTCTGAGAAATGCGAATGAGAAGGAAAAAGAGCTGTTACTTGCATTAGCTTGGAACTGTGTGTGTGTGTGTTTGGAGAGGATGAAGGAGAGAAGGGACACTTTCATGACTGATGTCAGGTACTGCATGACTCTGAGGCCACAGATTTGTGTGTGAGACAATACTGAAATTTAGGGAAAAGCAGTCAAAATATGGAAATGGCTTTGACACTGTGTTTGGCTTTCTGTGAACCCACCCTCCGGGTAAATTCTTTTTGACTCCACTGTTAGTTTTGCCTGACTGTAAATCTATACTCATTTACCCTGAGTGGGAAAAGCTTCCCCAGGGGCAGTGAGAGCACAGCTGGTGTGGGACAGAGTTGCGTGTATGTTGTGAGAGTGTCTTTAAGGAATGTCAGTTCTCCAGGAAATGGTCTCAGCAACACCAGTTAGGACCAGCTAGCAAAGAGAAGTTGTTGCAGCTCTGAGATTTCATAACAAAGGCACCTGGGTAGCAGAGATCTTGGTTCAGTGATGGTGAAAAGCAGAGAGGGTAAGCAGCAAGAGAAATTTCAGTAGGTTTCAGCTCTAGGTTTATAGCAGAAAGACTAATTCAACAGCAGCAGTAGCCTGTCATTCCCAGTTTGCTCAATGGGCCACTTCCTGTATGCCCCTAATAAGACACCAAAGGCAATACCAGCCCACTACTTTTAGCAGCATCTCTAAAAAATCACAGCCATGGGATGTGCATAGAGGGGGCAGTGGTCTGTACCCTGTGCTGGTCTTTGAGGCCTAGCGGGCTCCTGTAAAATCAGAAAGTATAAGGAAATTTCTGATTTCCTCTTCTTTTTACCCATGTGGTTTATTCAGCATAACCAGGCAATTCCCAGCCTTGACACAGCATGTCCCAGCTCCTGTACAGGACAGAGCCTTGTAATGGGTTCTTTGGATAAGAAGGTATTTCTCCAGGCAGTCAGGCACAAAGAGCTGGAACAGAATGAAATGGTTTGGCCAGATTATCTTTTATTCCCTCTGCTTTAAATTGAAAAGAGGTGTTCTCAGAAATGTCTGTCTTTTTCTCCATTACCCCAAAGAACAGTAGTTTTTAACCATTTACACTGAAATATATGGGCTCACTCTATCTTGCTGGCTAGCTTTTTCTTCTTTGGAAAGTTACAGGCAGCTGTATCTGGCATTGTACAGGAGAAAAGATTGCGTTGCTTGTTAACATTCAAAACAAACAAAAGAGCAATAACAAAATAACCAACCTTCATGGAAAAACCTGAGGGACTCAAATAGTAGTTCAGTTGGAATTCTGAAAATGAAACCTCCTTTGTGTTAGAAATGCATCTCTGCCTGTTCCCATGAAAACCAACCTAAATTTGGCTCATTTAAAGCCTCAAAAAAATTTCCATTGAGATGCATAAGAATTTGCCAGCCAAAATCTCTGGTGGATCTGTCAGTGTGGAGTGGGCGTGCTCATCCCTTCAAAGCAGTGTTCTTGCTGAGGTTCCTGAGCCCATGCTCATGCCTGAGGATAATAATTAAGATACTAGAGGTGAATAGAAACACTGGGCTGTTGTCTTCAGAGGAGGAGAGATGACAATCTGCATCCTGTCTTTATGGATCCAGACTGTGTGTGCAAACCACTCAAAATCAGTGTTAGTGGCAGTGTCACATTACAACGTAAGTCTGGGAACTGGTATCCCTTAAAAAAACAAAAACCAAACACCAACAACAACTTAAAAAACCAAAAGCCAAAAAAGACACAACAGCACCACACACTTGTATGCTGACTGAACTATGCAGATGCTTTTTTTAGGAAGAGAGCTGCATGCTTCAGCCCAAGGCAGGGAGACCCTCTTGCATCCCTGGCAGCTGTGGCACAGAGACATCAACCTCTCTTGTGGCTGGTACCTTCCCTCTGTTGGTGTTTTATTTGTGGTCCTGGCTTTCCTCCCTCTGTGCCTCTAATGACAGAGATGTTATTTCCCAAACTATCACCATAAATTTTGCCTTGCAAATGTGTGACAGGGGGGGGACCATGCAATATAACTACATCAAGCGACCATCCCCAGATTTCCAGACTTCTCTTGTCCTCGTCAGGTAGTAAGGGTAATTTAAATTCTTCAGGGCTTTGGGGTTTGGTTTTTTTTCAGTATGGAGACTATCATGATGTATTACAGGGTAAAGGTTGTAGATAACGGAAATCTTAAGAACAAAAGCTCAGTGAAAACCTCTATCCCCTTCAAGGGAATTCAGCCCTAAGTGGAGACTGTATTAAAATCCAAAATTAAAAGTTTAATTGTTAAAAGCTAAGCACAAGAATGGGAGGGCAGAGAGTGGGCAGAAAAATGGGGCTATACTTGGGCCCCTCACTACAAGAAAGACACTGGGATGCTCGAGAAGGGCTGGTAAAGGTTCTGGAGCACAGGTCTTACCAGGAGTATCTGAGGCAGCCTGGAGAAAAGGAGGCTCGGGGGGATCTTACTGCTCTCTAGAAGCACCTAAAAGGAGGGTGAATGTAGCTAAATGTAGCCAGGTGGAGGTAAACCTCCTAGGTAACCAGTGGTAGGACTAGAGGAAATGGCCTCAAGTGACACTAGGGAGCTTTGAGATTGCATGTTAGGACAAATTTCTTCATGAAAAGGGTTGTAAAGCATGGGAACAGGCTGTCAGGGAAGTGGTGCAGTCACCATCTTTGGAAGGATTTAAAAGATGTGTAGGTATGGCACTTGGGGATTGGTTTAGCGATGGACTTGGCAGTGCTGGGTTAATGGTTGGACCCGATCTTAGACATCTTTTTCATCCTGAACAATTCTATGATTCTATGATTTTTTAGCACCCTCTCACTAGGAAGTTCTGAATGTTACTCCTTTTTGTAACCCAAGCAATTTTAATGGATATGGTAATAGTACCAAAGGGTCCTTGCTCTTAATAAATATTAATTAAAGTAAATATCTCTTTCCATTGCAATAAAAAAACCCAAACTTGTAATATTTCTTTTAAATTACATTGCATCCTTGTTTTTGAGCTTTCTCTTCACCAGTCTCTGTCACACTTCCCCATGAATGGCTGATGGCTGAACTGCCAGCTGTCTAGAGCAATGTAGAACAGTTTGTTAAAAGTCATAACTTTTATAACATAATAACCCATATTATGTTGAATCTTGTTGTTACTACTGTTATTTACAGTAGATTAACAATTTCACTAAAAGAAAATAAAAGAACGTTGAAGTAAGAAAGACTACGGCTTTTTCTCTTTGTTACTCTTCTCTGTGTCCATGAAAAATTTTGGCTGTGTATTTTTCTGATAACTTATTAAAGCATTTATTTCACTTCTTACCTTCCATGTTTTTTTTCTCTTTTTCTTGCTGAAATTACAGCTGAAGAGGTAGAAAGACTGGCTGCAATGCGTTCAGATTCTCTAGTACCTGGGACTCACACGCCTCCAATCAGAAGAAGGAGCAAATTTGCCACTCTTGGGAGACTTTTTAAGCCATGGAAATGGAGGAAGAAGAAGAGTGAAAAATTTAAACACACTTCAGCAGGTAACAGCCGCATTGGGGTCGGTTTATTAATCTGGAACATTTGCTCATCAAGGCTGAAAGTTTGTAATAAAACCTCAGTTTATATGTATTTCAACTCTTAAAGCTTGGCTTGGAGACATTCCTCAGATTCTAAGAAGAGATCTTTAACTCTGTTACCAACCTTTTCTTTAAAAAACCCAAAGCAACACATTGGGTGCACTACAATTGAAGCAGCAGCTCACCAAAGCTGTGTTTTCAGGTTCTGCTACTAAAGCTAGAGCCTAACCCAGAAGAAATCTTTGAATATTGATTCAGCAGATTATGAATAAAGGAAAAAGCAGTACAAAAAGATCATGCTAATGGCCGATTTAGCCACACTGAAGTTCCTGTGAGTGCTGATAAAGTTGTGACAAAAATACAGGATAAAGAAGTTGACACTGTGTTGAGTAACTTGCATAACCAGAAATTATTCGTTCCACTGGGCAGGAATGATGCCTCCCTTGTTTTTTTGAGAAAACCAAATCTCACTTCCTGCCACACCCCTCCTTTTGCCATTGCTTTCTCACACTTCCAGCCAAAGACCCGTTGTATTAAAAAAAAAATACAGAAAATTGAAAAAATGTGGGTTTTTAACGTAAATTGGTCTGAGCAATAATCCAGATCAAGGCACTGATGCATGTGGTGAAAGCTTTGCAAGCTGTTTAAAAGGTTTCTTCTCTTTGTTCATTCTTGATGGCAAATGATTACTACATTTGGTTTTGCAAGTCTTTAACCTGGATTATCTGTGAGAAAACATGGAGTTTCTCCAGATTTCTTATTGTTCTCACTAGAACTAGAAAAAAATCAATGAGTATCTTGCTCCTTCAAGTGCCAAAAGAGGCTTGAGTTTACAATCCAGTTGCTTTTGTGCTCTGTGTATTGCACAGTGGAAGCTTTTAGGCACTACTTGGGTGTACCTGTGGCACTCCAAATCCTGTATTCCTGAAAATGGCCCACAGTGGGGTGAGACATCTCATTTAACTAAGTGTGAATTCTTGAATGAGTTTAAATGCAGAATAAGTGTTTTCAGGGTTTGTACCTGAATCAGTTCTTCTCTGTGTGCTGTTTAGGCTGTTTTCTGATTCGTCAGCCAAAAACTAATGGAAAAAACTGGAATAGATGGCTATATCGCTCTGAGTGATGACCATATTTTTTGACTTGACAGCTGAGAAGCTATTGTCACCAAAAAAGACATCTTTCTGCAAAACAAAAGACTTCTCTTTCATGTTCTGCATCAGTCATAATCATAGTGTAGTGTTGCAGGATTTCCATGAAAACTATGTAACTCTTAGGAGTGGACACTGTGGTGATAACTATTTTGAATCTAGTTTCAGCATGCTGGCTTGGTTGATTACAGCTAGGAGAATAACCATGTCTAGGAGGGTTGCCAAAGCTTGCTTACTGTTGATTTATATGGTTCCTGCAGCTCCAGCTGGTGAGGCTGAGCTGCATACTTCTGTGGTTAGACTGACTGCTTTGGAGCTGGATGGAATATGGCTCCATAATCCACTCTAGGCATTACAAGATGTGTTGCTTAGATTTGCCCCATTACCAAAATATTTGGAAAACAGAACCAGGCTGAAAACATGTATTTTCTCTTCTGAGAGGAATAAGAAGTTTTACCAGACATGCCAGCATATCTTCTCCCCTCAGTAAGAGTGAGTTCAGTGTCTGAAAAATCAATTTAAAAGCTGGGTTTCCAGGAACATTTCTCAGTCACAGTACTGGGTTTGATCTCGGTTGAATCCAAAACCTTTCTCTTTTTTTTAGAAAAATTTTCATTTCTACTAAGTTAACAGTATCCTGCAGCTGCTCTTCAAAATTGGTATTCCTGTCAGCTCCCCTGCTACTAACTGCAGCAAAATTGACAAGGATGTCAAATTTCCTGAGCACCCTGTGGAAGTGAGCACCCCTCTATCTCAGGGATAGAGATTTACTTGTAGATTGTGTGAGAGCTGGGACCTCACAGTTTCCATCATCCCCAACTCTGAGGAACAGGAATTCACCAGCATCCTACAAGACCCCAGCAATTAAGAAGCATTGGTTGAACCTTGGATGTGTAGTACAAAAAAATTGACACATGGAAAACTAGCATTTTTCTGCCAGCATTTCCATGACCTCTTGTCTAGTATCTCTGATCTCACTGAGAAAATATATTTAATCTTTCCAATAAATCAAAGGACAAGCTTTTGAGATGGCATAATGAGAGCCAGCATGAAACTTCATAATACAGGTTTATTTTCTTCTAGTGTCCTGGTAAATATGACACTATGAAAAAAAACATTCCCATTAATGTCCTGCAGGCATGTACCCAAGCTTTCCCACCTGCATAGAACATCAGTAATTATCAAAAAATAGATACTAATACAAGTATTTTATTAGGCCCTTATTTGCTGCAACAATGGACTCAATTATTTTTAATGTCAAAAGTAGTAAAGGTCAAAACACATGGCCTAATCTGATGAAATTTCCTCTGAAATTAATGGGAGATTCTTCTCTGGTAGAGGACAGGAAGAAAGAGAGAGTCAGGCTGATAAATAAGGTTGAAAGTTTGCCTTTTTCTTGGTATTTCCAAGTGCAAACATTGTGTATCCATATCTTATCAGACTAAAAGCTCTGCTTATTTATTCAGAGATTAATGTTTTAAAATACAGTTCAGTAGTCAGTGAGAAAAAAAAAATACTTTTAGGTAATAGGAAAAGTTATTTTCTGACACCTGGTAATTGTCTGAGGTGAGACAGTATGTGATAGATAGAGGACCTCAATGTTATGGTTATTATATATGACTCCTCTCAGCACATCAATACTCAAAGTGTGATATTTGAGTGTATTAAGTCCCCCATCCTCCAAATTTGTTATTGTGTTGTCACTGACAAGCAGAAGGTCAAAAGATGTTCATATTTTTGTAGCATTTGTATGTTTATAGGTTACATTGGTTTTGGTATCCTTGTAGTGACATTGCAGAAGGGTCCAAAGTCTGACATTGCCTTGGTGCTGACTTGGTAACCAAGGTAAGAGTCATGGGGTTTGATGCAGACAGTTCATGCCTTTGTCTCACAGCTGGTCTGCCTGTGAGATCATCATTAGGTATTTCATAAAGCAGCCAGAGCAGGTAGAGAAGATCATGGTTAGGGTGATCTATTTGCAGATGGGAAGCACCAGATGAGCCATTGAGTTTGACCTGAGCAACCTCTTCTGCTGGAAGGTGGTGTGCTAAGGCAGTGTAAAGAATTGCACTGTGAATTAAAGACAGGCTTTGACTAGGCATAATGTCAGAAAAACAGGGAGATTACTGTGTGAGGGACACCAGTGTACCACAGCAGGAACAGAAACAAGTTAATTCTCACAGTAGTTCTCCTCCTGGACAGAAGTGAAGTTCCCACCAGCGCAAAGTGGTTTTCGGTATCAGGTCTGCAAATCATTTTATCACAGGACATCCTATTGAAAGTTCTTTGATGAGTGATGAGAATCCCACAGTACAACATAAACCCTTTAGACACTGAAGTTAGACAAAGAAACCAAACTCTGCCACACTGTTACTCATTCTACAGTCAAAGGTACGCTGTATGTATTTTAAACTTAGATAAGATTTTTACATGAAGTGTGGAAACCTTTATTTCCATGCAGGGGCCAAGGCCCCCTCAACAAAATGAGAAGTATTATAAAAGTTGGGAGAACAGGCAAACTTCTTAATGGCAAAATTCTATCTGTTGAGAGGATGGTTTCTTAGAGCTGACAAGGAACAGTCTCATGGCAGAAGTCAGGAAGAAACAGAATTTTCTTTTCCCAAGCGCATTTCCTTGTCTGGGTGCAGCTGGGATGGCTCTAGAAGACTGGTCAAGGTTTTAAAAGCCACAGTGGGCTCTCTGAGAACATGCAAAGCAGAAAGCAAGAGAGCAAGCTGACTGTCTCCTCTGCTAGACCTCTGTAATTTCTTTTAATACCTTGATCTTCTTCTGCTTACCTTGCTGTGAACTTGAAAAATGTTCCTGGGTGTGTTTCTGTTTTATTGCAGTGCTGTACACATGCTGAAATGTCATTTCCTGGAGAAGTTTTGGGGAAGGAACTGCTTCTGAAATAAAGAAGCTTGAGGGGAAATAGATTCTGTGCTTACTTGAATTATTGTTGAAGGTTTTTTATCACTACTTCCATCAAAAGCCAACTGTTTGCAACCTTTCAGAAAAGAGATGTTTCAGCTGCTTGGAGGAGTTTGAGTAGAGAAAAATGTCTTGTTTTGTCATTTCCAGTTTCTGGTGACCTTCATTTTAAAGAATTGGTGCATCTGTCTTCCGCCATCCTTGCTTCCTGAATTGCCGTGCTCAGGCAAAAGGGAGAAGGAAGTATGTAAGTTGTGCATGAAGTACATTCCACTAGTTGGAATGACAAGAGAAAAGCCAAAAATGGTGAGAAATTAAGGGGTGTAAAGGAAGCTCAGCTGTAAGTAGGAGAGCAGAGGATTCAGCAGTATTTGGGTTAGGTCCACTGGTAGCCTATACAATGAGCAGAGAAGGAGCTGTGTCAGAAGAAACCTCCTCAGCAGCTCTGTTGCCAAGTAGATGGTTGTCTGAGACAACCAATAATATTAAAGAGAGAAAAGGAAATCTTTTGAACTCAGCTTTTCCTCCTAGGTACATTGAAACCTCCTTTTATTTGTGTCCCAGTTTCCCTTCATAGAAATACTAACAACCCTCCTCCACAGGGCAGTAATCATTCCTCTGTGCCATAGTTCCCATCCCAAAACCCATGGGTGAGCTAGTGAGCCACATCCTGTTCTGTGACCACAGGAAGACACAACTGTGACTTTCTAATCTCATGGCTGGGGTACCTTCCTGAGAATAGAGAAGGTCTGCTCCTGTTTCATTTAAGGTTTCATTGGCTTAGGTAAAATTGTAGAGATTGGTGTTCAAGAACCTGTCTCAAAGTTGAAAGGATTGGTAGGACTGGAAAGTTGAAAGGATCAAGATGGGGGATGAAGTAGACCAGAGTATCAGAAGAGGCAAAAGGCAAACCATTGTGAGGCAAGCATCATCAGTTGGCTTGGGGAAACAGGACATTCAGGGCAGGTTTGTGGATTGGTCTGCTGCTTAAGGCCCACAAGACTCTTTTAATAGTTATCTGTACAGAGGATGACAATCTTCTCTTGCTTGCAATTACTCTGTTAAATAGGAATAGATGAAGTCTGCACTCTGCATCTAAAGATTTAAGCCAAACAGTGTAGACAATGCCACAAAAGGGAGCATATGGATTTTTTCAGTTCACTTCATGAGGAGGGCATAACATGCTCTTCCATTTGCTTTCACTCTCTCTCAAGCCATTTAAAGATAATAGGTGAGCCACAACAAAGTTGAGTCATCCAAACTTTAGCTGCCTCACTCCCAAAATATGCCATAAAAAAGATATTAATTTTGTGCCAGAATTTTTTTTTCCACTTGTTAAACCTTGGTGCTTTGGTTTTTCCAACCAGAATTTTTTTAAAAGATACTCTATAAAAAAAAATAATATGTCAGTGTGTTTATGTAAGTTTAGTCCCCCAGTCAGCAGAGGGGATTGCTTAAGTTGGCAACACTTACAGGCAAGGATTTTTCAGTGCTTCTGATGAGTAATAAGAAGTAAACAAAATGTGGTAAAGCTGTTCAATTAAAGAAACTGTTATTCATAAACCATACCCAGATCATTTGATTCCTAATGCTGATTATTTCTAACTACAGCAGGTAAATATTTTGAACCTTTCTTTCCAGAATATTCCAGCTGGGAGAAATTCAATTGCATGTTGCCAGTGCTTCTCTTAAACATTCTGCTTTGCCAGTAACTGCCTCTTGTGATTTTCATGTAAAACCCTTAGGGTATTAAACTGGTCATGCTGTTTCAGTGAGACCTTTGCCTGGGGAAATGAAGGAGAAGCACAACCTGCAGACACACACACCTGCCCTCACCCCTGCCTGTACTTCTGGGGAGGTGGTCTATGGGGTGAGACTCAGTGTGGTTTTCCCAAGTGCCAGTTTATTGACAGCTATCTGCAGAGGTTCTATTTTCATGGTAAAGTGTGGTTTTGTGTGGATTATTGTCTAACAAGGATAACTGTTTTAAAGCACTTTATGGTTCCATTCTGTTCTTCTGAGTTTTATTTAATATCTGCTTTGATCCCATATGAAAGGTATTAATATTTCAGTTACAATTCCTCTTATACTTTCAAACCAGACTGTCTCTAGGTTTAGATATGGAGAACAGAAGTAATTATGTTTTTTTCTTCCCTGACACTCAAATTCTGATGACCTGGAAATACAGTTTTGAATTCTGAATCAGTGTTTAGAGAGAGCAGGGTGTAGCTACCCAGGGTAGCTGGGTCTGAAGCCACCCTGAAGCCTGAAATACCCAAGTCCCTCCTGTTCCTCTCCATGATGAAACCTGTGAATACTTCTGTGTAAAACTCCCAGGGGCCCTTTTGAAGTGAAACAGCAAGCAGATGATCCTCATGCTGGTCCAAGTCAGGTATTTTTGTGGTGCTGGAGCAGCTCATACAGCATTAAAACATTGCTAAAAGTCACTGATCATTTCCAGGATTTGGGGAGAAGAGAGAAAAATAGCACTGTTGTAAAACTAAGTCCAAGCTTGCTAAAAAAGAATTCTGGTTTTATTAAAAATCAGCAATACAACCACTTTTCAGAGTTAGAAAGGGCTGCTATGTTCACTGTGTTGTGATTTTTTGAGAGAAGCACAAGATGTCATTGTTTGAAGAAAAGCAGCATTTTGAAGGAACCTGGGCTGCTCCTGAATGCACATTGAATGAAGCAAATATTTATACATGAAGAAAAATAATAAAAAAAGATCATTATATTTCAGTGTTTTCTAGATGAATCTTAGAAGAGTTTTTGTGAAAATTTATGCAAAAACTGATTGAAATTTGAACTAGATATTATTTAGCATAGTTAAAAACCTGAATTTCAAATATAAAATGGCCTGGTAGACAGTAAAATATTTGAATCTTAGGTCTGTTGAAGTACTACACTGCTTGCATTCAAGGACTGAATAAAAATTAAAATCTATATGCAGTTTAATTTTTTGCATTGATCCAAAAATGTACACTTGAATGTATTTTGAATTTTGAAAGTGAAAAAAAAAAACAAATTCTAGGATAGCATATAACTTCTCTTTGTATGCACTGACATTTTCTTGATGTCTTTCGAGAAACTGGCCAGAAAAATGTACCAGAATTCATGCGAATGTGTAGATAACTTTTAAAAATTTTCATCTTTTGCCATTCCATAGAGGGAGCAGTCTATCTTGTGTATCTGCTCACTGCTGTGGAACCAAGAATTCACAGATTTTTTTAAAGCCAGTGGTCATTTTCAGCCTCACAATTAGATAAACAGCCCACAGCTTAGGGTGGCAGAAGAAATTTAATAGCAAGGGAAAGTAATGGGTGATGTTTGCCTCTCTATTGCTGGTATTTTAAATTGCCAGCGTTTTCATATTTGTCATTTTAAGGAGATTAAAAGAATGAAAATGCATTCAGAAGTTGCAGATTTGATTTGTACAAGGAAGGCAGTGAAAGAAGTTGTCTATTTTTATATTTGAATTGCCAACTGGAAGCTCCTAGTTCAAAAATGGAGGAAACAATCACTCCCCTGGGAGCGTGTATTCCATTACAGAGTAGTATCAATGTATCTTCCTGAGATCTGCTGCAGAGCATTTCCAGGGTTTAAGAAGTGGGCTTTGCTTAGCTGGGCTGAAAAATGTGTTTGGGGATTGTTCTAGCCCCGTGCCAGCTGTAATGGAACGTGTGAAATGAGGCCTCTAAATGTGTCCCTTCTTACAGGAAAGAGATGTTTAATGAGGCTGTTCAGATTTTATGCTAATTACATTTCCAGCTGCTGTGTGAAGATTATATGAGGCCACCCAAACTGTAATGCTGCAACATAATTCTACAACAGTGCATTCATGTTAAAATAATATAATACAATTAATCCATTAGAAAAGGTACAAATTGGGGCGATTGAAAATAGATGCTGTTTGTAGCTTAAGTGTTTAAGCAACACATCAGAAATAATGGAATATCTGGTGGTGGGGAGAGATGTGTGTTTGGAATAAGATCATTTATGTGTAAAAAGTTGTTGTATATCCTCAGCTTCTATTGCAATGACTCATAGATGGAGCATCTTCATCAGACTCTGTCCTTACAGGTTATTTCATTTAACAACAAAATGTTGTGAAGCTGCATTTTATTTTTAGATTGCATGTGAAGCATGGATATTAATTAATATTTCTCAGACTGCTGGCTTTTGTTCTTTGGGTTTTCACTGCCTTTGTAAAGGCACAGGAGAAAATCACATTTCACAGTGACACGAAGCCATGAGGAAATTTGTCTTTGCAATGATGCTTTCGCTGAGAAGTGCTGTTGAGGAAGTTTTATTCCTAGAATACTGTTTTGCTCTCGCTCAGTGTTTCCCGCAGGGGGGAAATGAAGCAGGAATCCCCGAGGCCAGCACGGCAGTACCTCGAGCGACTCCTGCTGTGACATGTGACCCATGTTGTGATTGGGAAATGGGTTGGTATGGTCATGTGAGCATGCAGCCTAGTGGGTCTAATCTGATGGGACTTTTTAATCACGGTAGTTGCCCTTTATTTCCATGTCCATGAGCTGCATTAAAAAGGCACATACAGTTAGATGTATACGGTATTGACAGCAGAGGTGACAATTCCAGGTCTGCAGGGATCTGAAACATGGATGGCAATCACCCAGACAAAACCATTAACTTCATCAGTTCTTTCCAGGGATGCTGGGGCTAGTATGTTGAGGAATAATAAACAGTTGCTAGAAAGAGAAACTGAATTGCCCTATATACAGAGGTTTAAAAGGAAAACACAGATTATGAATTGGAAATCAAAGACAGCTTGATGAAGAGCAGTTTTGTAGAAACCTTGGTCTAAATCTTGTTTATTCTAGGGCTTGTTTATACATTGTAACTTGAATTATTTAAACCATAAATATGAAACTGATTAGTTATAGCATCATAAACCCTTGGGTGGATGTTTATGCAGTTCATAAACTCATTAGTTTTATTTTAATTCACTAAGGCAAATTTAGTTCTGAATTAAAGTGTCCACATAAGTGTTTAACGTGGCATTGGTGATCCTCCTTGAATTACTGATTCAGATTGCTCTTCCTGAGCACCCATGTAAGTCAACACAGGAGCTAATGAGCAGGAAAGAGTAGATCAGACAGCCTGAGGTGTCTCAAGAGATGGGTTCTAAAGGCTCTGTTTGGTGAAAGCTGCACCTGACTTCTTGGGCTGCCTGAGGAACTGGGCAAAGGAAGTCCAAGGTGGTGATAAGAACATTTAATGAAGTGAGAAAGCAGTTGTCTTCTCTGCCAAATTCTGCTGCTAACCCATCCCAGTCTTGTTGCAAACAACACCTGTAGATATTGGACTCTTAAGCATTACAGGATTTAACTGCAATTTGACCAGGTCTCCCCTCTTTTCCTTTTTTTTCTTTACTTTTTTTTTTTTCAATCCATGTGTAGGGTTTCTTCAGATCTGCAGCTCACAAAGTCAGGTAATTCAGAAAGACTTTTGAATTATAGTAATAAAAAGGATTTCTAAAATTTAGGAGAAAATCTTGGAAACCAAAATCACAGGGGAAAACTACTCATTCCTTTCAGAAGTTAAATTCACTATTTGAAGAAACATACAGATTTCTGTATATTAAGAATTTTCTTTATTTATACAGTTTAATGTTTCAGTTCTGCAGTATGGTATCTGTATAAAGAACTAGTTAAAATAAGACTTTTTGTTTTGGTTATTACTATATGTTTGTGTAGGCTGAAGAAATAATGCTATCTGTTGGTAACTGTATCTGAATTGCTTATTATCTACAGGATATCCCACACTTTTAGATAAAAGTGGTGGTAGAATAGATCCATGATGCTGAACATGACTCACTATTCCTTTTGTTCCTGCTAGAGTAGCAGGTATATTTTTTTTAGGTTGAAAAATGGAGTTTCTTAGTCTCTTATTTTGCAGATGAGTGTATGTTCATTTTTGAAGGACAGAGTTTAGTTCCTTTTTAAAATGTTTTATTTTGGTAATTAACACTATTGATCCTTTATATCCTCAGAGTTCTATTTGCATCTCTCCAAGTTAATCTGGCAATCCCAAACAATTCTATTTATCAAAATAGGCTGTAAATATCATTCTTTTGCTGTAGTGAATCATACTTTTTAAACTTAACCAACAGCATTGTTTGCCTATTCTAAAAGAAAATAGGGAATTTGATTGCCACTATCTACCACTTGAATCTGAAAATACCAATTGCTCACCTCCCCTATGTTTTGCAGGAAGCTCTTGGTCTCCATGTGCTCTTCATTAATTCTTTAGTTAAAACTAGCAGGAGGCTGACAGCTGAATGTGCACAGATAAGCAGTACTCTGAGGAAGGACCAAAGAAGGCCCAGATATGCTTCTGCCTGAAGGCAGTGACATATATTTTGTGCTGAAAATGGTTGGCAATGTGTTTGATTTTCTTCCTGCTGAAGCTGATGAATTCTGTCCCTGTCCTCACTGAGCGCAGGGTGCCTGGCAGGCAGTTGTTGAATACCAAAAGCCTTTGCTCATACAGACTGGCCAGGAAGCCTTCTGCCAGCTGCACAATCACCTCTCTGTGGTGCTCTGTTCCCAAAAGAAGACTGTGGGACTTGGTGGGTGCTCAGATCTTTGCAGTAATAAACATTATCTGCAGGCAGAATGTTTCCAGTGTGTGCACATATATTTAGAAAGCACCCTTGCAACCTTTCAGAGTTAATTTCTGCCTCAAGACCTTTTGAAGCCTGTGAATTTCTATCACTATCAAGAATCAATACTGCATTTACACTTCTGTACTGGCACTTATATTTCCAAAACTGTACATGTACATCTAATAGCCTTTGTGCTTTATGGACCTGATCAAAAGCCCCATGAAAATGATTATTTGGTTCTCTCTGGTTTTTGTGGGCATAGGATCAAGTCTGTATTAAGCAGTCATAGTAGCATTCCTCCCAGTTTCTTATCTAATAGGAAAATATGCTACAGGTAGATAAAATATCAGTTAAAAAAAAGATGTAGTTGACTGTTAGTGAAATATTAGATGACATTTGGGCTACAGTTTGCATGCCTGAGTGGTAGTGTTTTTTCTCACCAGCTAGTGGCTTCTTGTACATCATCTTGGTCCTCAGGCTGAAGGATTCCAGTTTACAGTTGTGGAAAAAAAACAACTCAATAATTCCATGGGGAACAGAACTTTCAAAACATAGTTTTATATGGGTTGCTCCTTCCTGAATCTTCTGCTTCTGATTGCAAGCCTAGGAATGGCAATTTGGATCAAGTTTCTCTAACCAGCCTTCCAGAACTTTAGAAACATTACAAATTTATGATCTTTTGTCCTGACCAAAGTTTGCCAAAATTGGAAGGAGGTAGTGGAATTACCAATGAAGGCATATAAAAACAAGGAAGCCACTGTGCTCCTAAAAATGTGCAGGAACTGATGGGAGAAAACAAGACATTGGCTAGCTGCTATGGAAAAGGATACTTTGGCTCTGCTTGTTTTAGGCTGAGTTTAGAAGAGTGGCAGCACATATGGCACCCTTTTACAACCTCAGTATTAACTCTAAAATATCTGCAACATCTCTCATCAAATATACTTCTGTAAGGAAGATAAGTATCAGAACAAGAAGCTTCTGAGTAATTGTTTATGGAAATAATTTGGGATCTTATGATCAACAGAGAATCCTTGCATGTCCTCATGCTTCCATTTGCTTTGAAAATAGCCAGGGTGTGAAGCAGCTCTCCCTGCAGGCATTTGCAGGGTTTGGATCAGACCCCTGAGAGAGATCAGGAGGTTTCTCTGCAGGCAAATGCAGAACTGTCGTTGGAAGATTATTACAGAATATCCATGTGTATTGGTTTATAAATTAAAATAATGAAATCAGAGACAGCTACTCTTAATTAGTGATGGATCTGAACTGACCACACAGTCAGTCAGGCATTCACTGTTGATCTCCATAACACAGAACTCTCATGCTAGTAGCAGCCATGCAGGAGCTCTGGCACACATACTTGTCCCTGCTAGTAACTGAGTCCATGCACTATCTTTTATTTAGATGTGATGTTTACGCCCCAGAAAGCTTCCAGTTTGGAATGGCTACCTCTAAATATTGATGTTGGTTTTTTGCATCTGAATCTGCAAAGGCATTGTGCTGAAATGAGAGGCCAGTGACGCTGTGGTATTTCTGGCATTAATGTGCAGACAACATTCCTGCAGGCTAAAATGCACCGCAAGAAGCTGACAAAACCAATCAAAATCCCCCCATTTGTTAGTCTAGCAGATTAGTCCATTTTCTGATTTCACTGCAAGGATTGTGAGACTGGCTTAACTCAGCTGCCCCCATTTGAGTGACTGCACTTAGATCAAGCCAAGCCTCAACTGTGTCATTCATACTGTTACACCTTTGAATGCAAGGAGTTGAGGCTTGAATTGGTGCCACTAAATTAACAAAATTAATGCTAATTCACATTTTGCTCAGGGCATTATTTTTGGTATTCTTTCATCTGTTGAGAAGGAGTTTCCTGAGCTGCTCTTGTAGAAGGTCATGAGCCAGCCCCTAGCTACTGCCTCCCATCAGTCAGGAGCCATTAACAGCATCCCATTGGCAATCCCATGTGCTGACACCTAACATTGGTCTCCAGAGTCCTGGAGCCCCTGTTGCCAGTGAAGACATAACTGGTTTACACTTTATTTGTCTTCTGGCACCAGTTCATTTATTGAATTGAGCTGGCGGTGAGCTCTTCAGCATAGTCATGACATCTTTCTCCTAGTGTTCTTATCAGCAAAATTACCACTGAGAGAAAGAACTTGTATTTGACCAGGGTCTTCAGAATTCATCTGTGGGATTATGTGCCCTGAGGAAGAATGGTTTTTACCTGCTATATCTGTTGTCTTGGCAACTTCGTTTCATCCAGGAAATACCATGTATATTGGAGCAACCTTGTTGCACCATGCTGCAATATGAGTTATATTGGTCTGTTTTCTTTCCTGCATCCCTAGAAGGAAAGGCTGTAAAAGAGAACATTGCAAATACATAGGATAGAAAAGCCGCAGGGGAAGAGAGCTGAGACGCTCCCCTTCTGTGCTAATTGAAAGTAGGCCAAATCATAGTTCACTGCACAGATAAATGAGAGAAACAGAAGAGGGGCTTTGAGGATTGCACTATCTAATAAACCCAGCAGTATCTCCAGAAGAGCAGAGCTCTCTCTTAGCCAATGTCAGAGCAAACATGGTACCAGTATGCATATGATGAATTAATTGGTGTGTGTCCTTGGTCCGAAACTCCCTGTAGGTTAAGATGAGCAAAGCAGTAGCTTTTTCAAGCACATGGGGCAAGGTATGGGCTAAGCAAAGTATTTCTGCTGCTGGTCTAGTGATGCCTCTTGTGCGGCAGAGAAGCTGGATAAAAAGAGGGCTAATATTCAGGAGCCCTAGATCCATATTATAGTGGGTTTGCAGCTAGTAAGGTAGAGTCTCCCTATTCATCTAACACCTGCTATTTCTGTAAAACCTTTATGTATATATGCTTATGTCCTACTTTCTTCCCCTTGAATCTATACACATGTTCAAGCTCACTACATTGCCTGCCTGCAGCAGATGATATAGAGCATCCTTTTGTCTGTTGAACTTGGTTGTAAAATCTCAGTCACCTTCAGTGACAGCAGGCCTGACCCTCTGTAAAAAAGTGATGGCTTTCTGCAGGAGGCTTTCTGCTGTGTATCTAAGGCACTCCAAATAGTGAGAAAACTATTTTAAGTAATGCTCTCAAGGAAAGAATAGCACAAAAAAATACACACACATTTATTAGAGGAGATTACTGTGGAACAAAATTATGTTGATGAATAACAAACAAGAGATTGTTTACAAAATGCTGATTTCTGGCTCATTGTTTACTTAATTTTTCCTGTTTCATTTTGCCTGAATAATGTAAATGCATTGGTCCCATTAGTCTCCAGGAGATATTTAGGCATTTTCAGTTGCTCATGAGACTGTTTCCTAAAGCCTTTTGAAGTGGGACTACCTCTGCGTAGGAAGAGACTCTCATAAGCCACCTTCTCATCCTGTTCTTGACTCCTTGGCATCCCCATGGTAGTCAAACCAACTGCTTATGTGGAAAAGTAATATGAGGAAACCACTGAGGCAGTTTTAGCTGTCTCTTAATGAAATGTAACAGCTGGAAATCAGGAGGAGCATGATCATCATGGGACCAATCAGCCCTCTGCGGAGAAGCAAGTGCTGTGTAAACCACTATCAGTATGTCTGTGACGAGAGCAGTGTTGTACTGAGTGGGTAGCTGATATTATGGTGAAATACTTAAATTCAAACACCACTTTAATTAAATTTCACTCAGTATTAGGCTAGGAAATTGATAAGATTTTAAAAAATTGGAATCAGCCCTGAGCTAACATGAGCACACTGACCTGGCTCTTCTTGCCAAGTGCTTGCAATCATTTTTGTGCCACAGGATATTCTCTACAGCCAGTGGCCCACTGCATTTTATTATAACCTGAGCTGTTTTCCATCCTTTTAATACTGTCTGCTTTGAGATTGCTCAGAGTGCACCTCTGGAGAATTTTATTTCATTTTTCCATGCTGCTTATCATGGGAGAATTCTGAAGTGAGATGGCAGCCTCCTCAATACAATGTAAATTGTGACTCCAGTTGTTCCTGTCAGACGTGTCCCAAAGAGATGTTGACAGTATCATGTTCACTGCAGGAACTGACAGCAGAAGACCATTCCCATGGTAGGAACAGAGCATGCACAAGAGGCTTGGTGTTGCTCATCACTCCTGTTTCAGCCCTTTTACATCAGGTGAAATGCCTGCGGAAGTCCTCCCACAGAGAAACTGCGAGAGACAAACAGCAGGGCCTCGTCCAAAGCTAAGCTTGTTGCCTTTAGGTATCTCAGGCAGGCATCTAGGCCAACTCCTTGGCTCACAATATTTTCTCAGCTTGTCTTCTGTCCTGCAGCCCAGTGGGCAGGCAAGGAGAGGATAAACAAAGCACAGATTGCCTTAAAGTCATGCTAGCCACAGATCATTTCTAGGCTAAGATTTCACTTAATTTTATTTTGGACTGTGATCTTTCCCAATTTTTTAATAGTTAGCACCAATGTCACTTGGATAACACAAGGCATCAATTAACAATTGGCTTTTGCTTACATAAGATCAAGTTGTACTTTGCTTTACACCTCTGTTTCAGATATTTCAGGTCAAATTTTGCTTGCAGTTATGTCTAGGTATTTGCTATTAAACCCATCATTGGATAGCACTGACATTGTAAAGAAAAGCATAAATTTTGCCCTCAAGTGCATTGTTAATTTTATTCTGTGTAGGTACAGGTCTTTTAATTATCAAGCTGATTCCTAATTTGAAGTGAAGTTCTGCTCAGTGCTTGAAGATAAAAAGTATAAATCAGACAATATGCTACCTGAGGAAAAAAAGTAGAGGCTGAATCTACATGGCAGGAAGACAAACAAGCATGAGCAGCTGTGATCATTGCACATTTACACATGCTCACATGCATTCATTCTTAGTTTCCTCTTGCTAGTTTTAAAAATCTAGTCAAAATCCATATCCTGAAGAGATGTAGCTCATAAATTACGTTTTTGCAGCATGTGCTAGGTGTGGAT